AGCCATTATTGCATTTTGTATATTAATGTAGGAATCAATATGGAAACAGTTTTTAATTGGATTGTATATAATGACAGATGTTGAATTTGGAAAGATCTCCAAATGGTTGTAATGGATGTAGGAATTAATTTTGAAACATTTTTTTTTTTGGAATTAATTTTGAAACATTTTTTTTTTTAAAATTTAACAATAAATTCAAATTTAGGTAATCGGTTTGTTTAATAAAATGTTTATGTTAATTTCTTTTTATGAATTATACATGACTAATAATCCACTTTATAATTGTTTATGAATAAAACTGTACATACTAATTATGTTGAAAAAATAATGTACCTATTTGTTTTATGAAAAATATAATTTACCTTATTTTATATGTATATATTTATATTATATTTTTCATAGGTACATTATTTGGATATGTAATTTACATATATATATATATATATATTTTTTTGTAATTTTAGGAGGCGAGATGTGAGAGGGAATGACAACTAAAAGAAATGGGGTGGTTGATATGTTATTAATAGGGAGTATATTAATTACAATTATGGTAGTTAATGAAATGCTTGAAATGAATTATAAATAAAATATGAAGTTTGGTGGCAATGATGTAAAAACATAGAAATACTACAACCTCTTATATCCTACTAGTCATTTAAATTTGAAATTGGGTTTTACACATAGATTTATAGAGTGATGGGTATATGTTTAGGAAATAGAAAATGTAGGGATCTATATTGGACAAGCTCATTAAATTAAACAGTAGCTAGTTGATAAGTATTGGCAGTCTACCAACCAAATTACCAATCGAGGTCGCTCTGCGCTTCTACTTATATTTAGTTTAACGTAACTTTCTAATTATAGACAAGACACTTAAGACACACACACCCCAACTGGTTATTTGTCCTTTATAGTAGCCAGCCATTAGACTCCATGTCCATCGATGTATGACCAAAAAACACTCATTGATGAAGTCCACGTGAGATGTAAGTAGGTTTCCTTTGTCAATGTGGGCCGAACCTGTCAATTCATTAACTTCTTCCATGCCACATCGAGTGGATCGCCTAATTAAGTTTGATCCTGTGATTTGGTGAGGCCCAAAGGCCATTCCCTTTTTATCTGCTAGTATTGTTATTAAGAAACTATAACACATTTTCTGCAAGTTTGGGTGGGAAGGCCAATTGCCCAAAGATACGCTTCAATTGACATTGAAAGAGGCGAATAGGAGGAACACATGCATGCCATGTAGGCAATTAACGTAAATTTTGACGGTGACGTTAACATCAAAATTGTATTCTAAAAAATTAGGATATATGATTGTTAAAATTAAGAGTGTATAGACAAACATGTCTTAAGAGTGAGAATTCAGAGTACTGAATTGAAATTAACCTTAAAAATAAAATAAAGATTCAGAAATTCCATCAATCCATCAGGGGTTGAAGGTATTATTATGAGTCCCAAAAGAAGAAAAAAAAAAAAAAAAAAAAAAAAAAAGGTTCCGTTCATGAACAAGTTATCACAGAATATGATGATTTGGTTACAAGGTATGAATGAACATCCAATAAAGAAGAAAAAAAGGAGAATGACATCATAAGCAATTAAGGTGGTCAATAAAGAAATGACTTATTTATGACCAGGCTGGGCCCAAAAAAGAAGAAAACATTTCCATCTTTCAATTTGTTTTCTTTAACAATGAAGAGCACAATTATGACAGAGAATTTGGAAGTGATTTTTGTTAAACATGGGATGACTTCACCTAGTCTAGTGTAGTCTGGTTAATAAGTTGTTGAGACAGGTGCTTACCTCATGATTAATACATTTTCTTTACTTTAAGGAAGAAAGTACCAAGACACAATTATGATGTCCTACAAAAATCATTAGAACATGCCCGACTGACCCTCCACTTTTGATATTAATTTAAATAAATAATTAAGATCGTCTAAATCTCTTCACAAGCTCATCATCTTTTCCTGATACCCATTTTTGGTTTTACCATAAACAAATGACTTGGCTTCTTTCAAGTTTTCCAGGACCATTTTGTGTTGCTACTGTCGAGATGCGATGTTATAAATTTAACGGGCCAGAGTGAGTTACATTATATTAATTTCAAGAGAAATACTTGAGTTGATGATAGGGTATGTATGGACCACCTCGATATGAACTTGAGCTATCTCTCTCTCTCTCTATCTATATATATATATATATATATATATTGATTCGCATCTTAGTTCTGGTTGTGTTGAATTGACTAATGCAAAGGGCAATCATTAGGTTAAGCTTTCCTCAGCCAAGCAGGGTACCTAAGGCTGCCAGAAAAATGAATGGTAATTTTTGGCATTTCTCTGACTAATGACCAATCTCCATCTCCATGGGTCAAATAATCATTTAGGGGGTTTCTCATAATTTCACATTGGCTAGCTTTATCTTAGGCTTTGGATATAAGTTAAGTACAACCAAACCAATTAAGCATCCACTTACGTACCATGATATATAATTGGACCTTTAATCCAACTCCAAAAAAAAAAAAAGGTTCCGTTCATGAACAAGTTATCACAGAATATGATGATTTGGTTACAAGGTATGAATGAACATCCAATAAAGAAGAAAAAAAGGAGAATGACATCATAAGCAATTAAGGTGGTCAATAAAGAAATGACTTATTTATGACCAGGCTGGGCCCAAAAAAGAAGAAAACATTTCCATCTTTCAATTTGTTTTCTTTAACAATGAAGAGCACAATTATGACAGAGAATTTGGAAGTGATTTTTGTTAAACATGGGATGACTTCACCTAGTCTAGTGTAGTCTGGTTAATAAGTTGTTGAGACAGGTGCTTACCTCATGATTAATACATTTTCTTTACTTTAAGGAAGAAAGTACCAAGACACAATTATGATGTCCTACAAAAATCATTAGAACATGCCCGACTGACCCTCCACTTTTGATATTAATTTAAATAAATAATTAAGATCGTCTAAATCTCTTCACAAGCTCATCATCTTTTCCTGATACCCATTTTTGGTTTTACCATAAACAAATGACTTGGCTTCTTTCAAGTTTTCCAGGACCATTTTGTGTTGCTACTGTCGAGATGCGATGTTATAAATTTAACGGGCCAGAGTGAGTTACATTATATTAATTTCAAGAGAAATACTTGAGTTGATGATAGGGTATGTATGGACCACCTCGATATGAACTTGAGCTATCTCTCTCTCTCTCTATCTATATATATATATATATATATATATTGATTCGCATCTTAGTTCTGGTTGTGTTGAATTGACTAATGCAAAGGGCAATCATTAGGTTAAGCTTTCCTCAGCCAAGCAGGGTACCTAAGGCTGCCAGAAAAATGAATGGTAATTTTTGGCATTTCTCTGACTAATGACCAATCTCCATCTCCATGGGTCAAATAATCATTTAGGGGGTTTCTCATAATTTCACATTGGCTAGCTTTATCTTAGGCTTTGGATATAAGTTAAGTACAACCAAACCAATTAAGCATCCACTTACGTACCATGATATATAATTGGACCTTTAATCCAACTCCAAAATTAACTTCACAATTACTCGCTTAATTACTACCCTAATACTTTGTGTTAAACCCAATTAATGACTTTTGCAAAGAATCATGAACAAGTTAGATATGGAAAATGTTCTTCAACTAACAAAGAAAGCCTTTTTTTTGGTGAGGACAAGTGAAGGCCATGCAAATGATTTGAGCACATGGACAAATGCCAACATCCTTGAGAGTTTTAATTAGTCTCCCAAATAGAATAAAAGTCATGCCCTGGAAAATCACACCCTTCCCCCATTTTAAATTTATAAGATAGACGACACACACACACCCATGATAGCATTCCATTTCCCGGAGAGGACGAAAACAGAGAATACAATGCAGCCAAGAGAGAGAGACCACAGCTCCTCCTTTATTATACAAGTAGGTGATCATCAACAATTCCATCACCACCACCAATTTGATCTTCATCATCATCAACCTCCCAAATTGAACTTGTCTGCCATGAAACTCTTCAACCGCTTCCGGAAGATAATAATGAGACTCTTATTTTCTATCCCATCTCGATCAGCTACCGCGTCTTCTTCATCTTCCTCAGGAGCCACGAGCAGCACCCCCAGGCAAAGGAACAGCACCAGCTGTGACAGGTTCTTTGAGCCCCCAAAGACTTCATGCAGTTCCTATTATTCATCTCATTCGCATTATAACGAGGCCATCGCTGACTGCATCGAGTTCTTTAATAAGTCCTCCTCGTCTACCCAAGAGGACATGTTGGATTTTGATCCACAATCCAGCGTTATGGTTTGAACTTTGATATAAATGTTTCTTTTCGCATGCACATCACACTTCACATGCTCATGTACTTATGTACTTATCTTTTGGCTCACTGTCTTTTTCTTATTAATTCGTGATCTTGTTTTGGTTTCAACTTCAAGCACATTAAGCATGTACTTGGTGCAACTATGCATTCCCTGTTGGTCTCGATCCTCCTGTTCAAACTATTTTATCTGTTTTGCTGTTGTTGTCTCTTACATTATGCCTTATTTATCATGTACATATACATTGTTGAGAAAATTAAAACGTCCTTCGATATGACTATTTATTTATTTGTGAACGCATGCATTCCTTCTGTTTGAATGATTCATTTAGTTATTTTTCTCTGAAGCTGGGTCGAATTTTGAACAAGCTTTCATGAAAAGCAAATCAACTTGAATATCGTCACTCTCTTTCTTATCACAGTTTACGTTTTATGAGGTTGGACTATGTTGTCAGTGTCAGTGTCAGTGTCACTGGGTTGTTGCATTTGTTGTCGAATGATGTTGGACTATATTTAAATGGCCCATTATTATCAATACGCATTGCATTAAGGCCCAAAGTAAAACATCTACCCTCAATTAAATTAATAAAAGAAAAAAAAGAAAGAAAAGGAACAAGAACAACGGCTTAAGCCTTAAGGAGATCAGGCACACTAATTTATTGGGTACTTAATTCAAAGACTCTCTTCTTCAAGTGTTACAATTTCTTATTATCCCGAGCAAACTAATTTACCGGCAAGACTTGCATACATATATAAAATAGAACTGAAACATACAAAATACAATTACACAAAGGGGGATGGGAAAAAAGAGTTGGCATGCAAGCGGCAGTATTATTGGATCGGAACCAAGATGAAGATGTATGTATGTGTGATGTAGAAATGCAGCAGGGCTGATGATTTTTATGAAAGTCATCAAGGATCAAGGATAGGCTACTTGTGGGCCTCCTTTCTTCTTAGAAAACATCCCAGCTATTAGAGGAATGAAAGGCTTGTTTTTCTTCTTCTTGAGAGAAAGAGAAGGGTGTCTTTGCAATTTTTCATCAACACCTAAACCTTGTGCAATCTTTACTTGCGCAAGGGAAGGTGGATTTGCAAATGTCACATATCTTTTGTTTTGAAACTCAAAGCTTCTTTCTTCCTCATCAGATGTTTGTGTTTTCATTTCAAACTTGGTTGAGTCTGAGTCTTCAACTATATTCCTAACGTCTTCGATGATCTCCGCTTCTACAAACTGTTTCTCATATTCCCTTTCCTTCAACTGATGGAGCTCTCGCTTTGTCCGTTCAAGCTCCTGTTTTAGAGATGAAAGGCAATTTTCCATGAGCTCGCTTTCTTCTCTGGCTTTTTGGAGGCTTTGTTTTGTCTCCTCTAGCTCCGCTGTCACGCTTCCAATTCTGGATGCAGGGCCATGCCGATGCCCATTTTCATGTGCTCCATTCTGCATCTTTCAAGAATACAAGAAAATCAATTATTTAGTACAATTATATTCTGGATGCTTGCTTGCTTGTGACCCCTCCTCTCCTCTCCTCTCCTCTCCTCCCAACAAAGCCAAAATTAACATTTCTTTATTTTTCTATAGCATCTCTTCATTTGAAAGCCAAGAAGATTAGCTCCAGATTCCCTCCCTAATAAAGCCGACCATTAAGGAATTAAGCCTAGTGATGATTTAACATTCTTTATTTTAAATATTGAACAGCATAACCACAGCTCAGTCACATAAACAGGAGGGCAACTTAATTTGTACTCAGCCACAAGCAAAGCATGTATGAGAAGATCAAACTACATTTTCATTTTGTGTAGATGGGAAGATTAAAGTTAAGAGATGTAACCTTTAATCCCAACCCAAGTAGTAATTAAGTAAGTAGTGATTAAGTTAATTATGAATATGATGATGATAAGTACCTGTTTGAGCTGGGTGGCATAGAGTTCCCCTGCAAGAAACTTTTCACCGAACAATGAAACAGCTTCTTTGACAGATCGGAATGGTTGCCTTGTATCAATCTCCGCCCTCTTCATCCTCCTCACACCTTGCACTTGCACTCCTCCTGCTGCTGCTGCTGTTTCATTATTATTCTCCATCTTCCTTTCTTAATAAAACTTTCACAAATATTATACTGCTTGCTAGCTACTACTAGAATCAATCAAAGGCCCCAACCAGAATGCCCAATTTACCTAGTCTTGAAAACAGAGAGAGAGAGAGAGAGAGAGAGAGAGAGAGAGAGGGCGGTTATAGATGGAGCGAGGGGGACAGGGGGGAGCTTCGTTTCTTCGCGTCCACTTCACTAGAATTCTGTTAATATTGTGAATGTGATTGTGAAAGTGAAAGGAAGGCGGTGGGTGGCAGTAGTTGGTCACTTCCACTGTTATCTTTTATTTTATTTGGTTTCGTCTCGTGGACTGGGGCAAAAGAGAGGGACTCTTCGCCAATACCCAACACCAACCAATTCCCTATTACCTTTTTTCATAATTATGGGTCTTCTCCTGCACTATTGCTTATGGTCAAAATCTAACCCAGACTCAAATCCAGCCCACAAACTGGCCTCAAACTTGGGCTGGGCTGAAACTCACAAAATCAGACTATAGTGCACATGTAGAGAGAGGGAGAGAGACATGGGACTGAAAGAGCAATGGTATGTATGGCATGCCGTTTCTATCAAGTTCCCAAAGTAATCAATACAGAAAATGCCAATCCAATCCAACTATGGTAGGATAGGATGGCCACAACTTAAAAAGTTGATCAAAGTCTCAGAATTTAAAACCAGAATCATTAAAAAGGATTAAGGATAAGAATTATCCATCTTCATCAATCATTACCACATTAACAACAAAATAACATGTTAATAACCTAGCCCAGCCCTGAACGAACCCATCTTAATTTACCATCGTATTTTACAAAGACTGATGCGATGATTGTATAAAAAGGAATTGCCGCTGCTGCTGGCGCTCCAAGCATATGAATATTATTACTTGTTTTTATTTGGTAACTATTATGGATATACTTTAAAACGAATAGAAAAACAACAACATGTTGCAATCAGTTCGAGCTATAACAACGCCAAAACCACAGATCTTCTCTCTTGTGTCCCATCGTATTGTCCGCCCAATCCCAACCTTTGTCCAAACCCTCAATCGAAAAACAATATAAAATACCAAAACAACTGGCAGGTACCAATGACTAATCAACGGGCGCATCAAAAACCGATGACTAACGAACAGTTTAATTCCAGTTAGCTTGTTAACTGTCCGTCGTGCCCAAAGCCACGTCGTCTTGGTTTCTTTCTGAGCATTTTCGACTTTTTATTATAAAATATGAATAAAATTGCAGAACCTAAACAAATCTTAGTTGGGAACCTCGCCAGTTGGTTGCCATCCACAGAAATAAAGACCAACAATACCACTATGCTCCCTCTCTGTCTTGTTCACTATTTTCCCTCTTCTTTCTTTTTAATAGATCTCGCCTTACGACAACATGTCAGTTGCTGCCACGTCCCCATCCGTTGGATCTTTCTACCTCAGGCGCCGATCACCTAGTACGGCCATGTCCATGCCTCGCTTTAGGATGGCCGTCCGATCTGCTGCCGTTTCTGTCACTCCGCTGTTGACCAAGCTACACAACGACTCTGCCACTCCTTTGCCCCTCCTGCGCCACGTGGCAGACGCCATGGCCGCCGATATGCGAGCCGGGCTTGCTGTGGAAGGTGGGAGTGACCTCAAGATGATACTCAGCTATGTTGACAGCCTCCCAAGCGGGTACTATTAACACTTCATACGACGCCGTCAAAATTATACCTTGACTGTTTGCTTGTTTTTTTTAATGATTTCTTTTCTAAAATTAATGGCTAGTACATTCCATTTTCTGCTAGTTTTGTTTTGATGTCATGATTTTGAGTTGTGAAAGGTGTATACTTTGCTATGCAAGGAAACAGAGTATTTTGTTCTGTCTCTCAATGATCATGAGTTTAGTGTTTGATGTAATTTCAATATGTTTTGGAATTGGAAGGAATGAGGAGGGGTTGTTTTATGCACTGGATCTTGGAGGCACAAACTTCAGGGTGCTGAGGGTACAACTAGGCGGCAAACAGGAGCGTGTGATTGCCACCGAATTCGACCAAGTTTCGATTCCTAAAGAGCTTATGTTTGGCACGTCAGAGGTCTGCTTGTTTTATCACTAACTAATTTGCTACAACAATATTAAATGTTGGTTTGTCACATTTTATATTCAGGATAATGCATACATGAGTTAAAACCAGTTTTGGTTGTTCACACTGCAGCAACTGTTTGATTTCATTGCTTCTGGGCTGGCAAAATTTGCACAAAAAGAGGGTAATAAATTCCACCTTCCGACCGGTACAAAAAGGGAGATTGGATTCACATTTTCATTTCCTGTGAAACAGACCTCCATTGACTCTGGCATACTAATTAAGTGGACAAAGGGTTTTTCTGTTTCTGGAACGGTTCGTACTTTCCTTTTCTGCATTTCTGTTTTCATTTTCCTAGAGCTCTTCATTGGATTGGTTTCTGCTTTTTGGGTTTATGTTAATGGCTTTAAACCTTTTCCTCTGTCATTTTCTGATCATAGCTTCTTAACACTCATAACAACTTGCCAACTTGGCAGGCATAATCATATTAAGATATTCAAACTTTTACAGGCAGGGAAAGATGTGGTTGCTTGTTTGAATGAGGCTATGGACAGGCAGGGACTTGATATGCGGGTGTCTGCCCTGGTATGCTCATCTGATGCTAGCATCTTTTTTCAAAAGGTTTAATGAATTAGCTACCAATCTGACATAAATCCATGCATACTAGGTTAATGATGCGGTTGGAACATTAGCTGGAGCAAGATATTGGGATGATGATGTCATGGTTGCTGTTATTTTGGGTACTGGAACCAATGCTTGCTATGTTGAACAGGCAGATGCTATCCCGAAACTACAGGGTCAGGTTTCTTCTTCTGGCAGAACGGTGTGTGAAAGAGGCCCCAAACTCATTTCTCTCTTCTTTATGGACATAGCTTAATTTTATTTCTCAATTTGCCCAAAATTACCTTTGGTTCAGATTATTAACACTGAGTGGGGAGCATTCTCAGATGGTCTTCCTTTGACTGAATTTGATAGAGAAATGGATGCTGCTAGTATCAATCCTGGTGAGCAGGTAAACTTTGTAATTTTTTATTTTATTTTTTAGTAGCTCAGTATCAGCACTTTTCTTTAGCATGCTGGTAACAACTAACAAAAAGACCTCATAGTTATCACTCGTTCATTCCTCATATTACATATGCAGATCTTTGAGAAAACAATTTCTGGAATGTATCTGGGTGAAATTGCACGAAGAGTGTTAGTGAAGATGACTGAAGCAGATGCTTTGTTTGGTGAATCTCTCCCAGAAAAACTATCAACACCTTTTGCACTCAGGTAAGATAAACTTCCATTGTTTGCTGAGTCTGGTAACACTAGGAGTTCAGAATTGGAATTAGCTTGAAATCAAGTTCCTTTTTATGCTGAAGTGTGTTTGGAATTGATTTTTATAGGACCCCAGATATATGTGCTATGCAGCAAGATATATCTGATGACCTTCAAGATGTTGGATCAATCCTATACAATGTAGCAGGGGTAAACTTCCTATGTTTGTTCTAAATTGTTCATACATACCATCTTGATGCATGCCTAAGCAAGTATTGTGTACAATTTAAAGCTAGTTTCAGTTTTCAATGTCTTTTCCTAATCAATATTTTCTCATTTCCCCAATGCTGGGATCAGGTTGAGTCAAATCTAAGTGCAAGAAAGATTGTGGTGGATGTATGTGACACCATTGTAAAGCGAGGTGGGCGCTTAGCTGGTGCAGGAATAGTAGGGATACTTCAAAAGATGGAGGAGGATTCAAAAGGTCTCATCTTTGGCAAGAGGACAGTGGTGGCAATGGATGGAGGGTTGTATGCAAACTATCCTCAATACAGAAGATATTTGCAAGAGGCAGTGACAGAGCTTCTTGGGACAGAGATTTCGAAGAACGTGGTCATAGAACTTACGAAAGATGGGTCTGGCATAGGGGCTGCTCTCTTGGCTGCTGCAAATTCCCAGTATGCATAATGAGAATGGGTCGTAGGGCAGGACAGCACTCTTGCTGCCAAGGTAATTTAGTAGTACCATGTAATTAGCCCCTGATTAAAAAGGTTTGTAATTAATTTGCAATTTGGTTGAACTTGGCATTGTTTCGGCGAATAAGATAGTGAGTGAACAAGACAATGATGAATATAGGATTCGCTTCAGAATTGTAATTCAGAACTAGACTGTACAACTTTGAGATCATAATGCACCATCCATCTGTATGGTGCAATTTTTGTCATTCAGTTCATCTGTACGAAATATTAGGAAGAACTTTGTGGCTCGTAAGTAAATATTACTAGTCACGGAACTTTAGTTTAAAATGCTTAATTTGAAACCATCCACAATCACAATAGTGTTGAACCGTCTGCTGTCCGTCTTGCTGGTTGAAGCATAGTTTCCAAACGCTGTTAAAATGAACATGACAGGAGCTAGGAAGTTTCCGACATTCTGGAAACTCAGTCCAGCCATCTTTGATTGAATGTCAATTTATGCTTATATTTCATCTCCTAATTTAGCAACGAACAAAGCTAAACATATGTTGTCAATTTAATAAATACAAATTTATAAATAAACCCAATCCTAGACATGTATTTATAAAAAAATTCAAACACTATTTAAACATAGAAACACACCCAAAATCAATCTCAAAGTCAACAATTGTATATTTTTTAGGTGTGTTTATAAATGGGTTTTGAGTGTGTGTAATGATAGGTTTTGGGTGTGTTTATAAAGTATTTTGGGTGTTGGGTTTTTTTATAATTTCAGCTCCTATTTTGGGTGTTTTAGTGAAACTCCCTTTAATAAAACTGTTTATGTCACATTATTAAAAAAATTACAGAGATAATTTGATAGATTTTATTATTTGGACTTAATTGTAACCCAAACTAAGCTACATGACTAAAATGATGAAATTGAAATAATATGGCCCAAAACTGAAAAATGAATCAAATTTGCATATGTGGCAAAATTGCTAAACGCGTGCAACTGTTGTGGTATCCATGTCCATGTGTGAAGAGTTCAAATTAGCCGTTGGATAAATCCGTTGACCAATAATTCGACGGAGGCAAGTCTCCTTCACCAAGCACACCGTTTTTG